GTACAGTGGTAACATGACATGTACAGTGGTAACATGACCTGTACAATGGTAACATGATATGTACTATCTGGCTTTGTATACATTGTTTTCCACTTCACATCGCACAACCAACAACAACTACAGTAGAATACAAGTGGTAGTTCAGGCCCATGGGCCACTTGTCTTGCAAGAAACTTCATACTTTTATGCCAATTCTCTCTGCTGTTTTGACCATGTTTACATGAAGAGTTTGAAATACACTGATGAAATGAAATTCATTATCAGAGAATGACATTGAGATATAACTAGCTATAGTACTGATAACAAGATATTATAGATTTGTAAAAGATTATTGTAGGTGCCAGTAGGTTTGTAAAAGATTATTGTAGGTGCCAGTAGATTTGTATAATTTCACTTGTCAATTCTATGTATATATATATTTATATTTAATTCCAACGCAAGGACTTCTCAATGTTTTCTTTATATATATATATCTATAGTGGAACAGATTAAGATCAGGAGCCTGTTCACTTTTGAAATATTTTGTACTATATTGCTGTCTTAATTGGTGTTGATAAAAACCAATGGACATTTCTTAACTTAAATGCTGAATTCATTCACCCCTGAAATAAATTTAAACTCTTCCAATTCAAAAGTTGGAATTGTTCATTTTGAGATTTCAGGGGTGAATGAGTAAACACTTCAATGTATGCCTACCTTTGTCTTCCTTTAGGTACGGAGAATGCTGTACGCGAGTTGGAAAATTTTCATCAGGACTTTTTACTGAAAAGTGTTCCCCCGGAGGATCCCGCAGATGCCGCCCTTGCGGTAATAAAGGGCGGGGCCACTGGTGTAAGGGAACTACATTTCCCGTACTTTTCTATGAAGATAGTGACTATACTCCGGGACATAGTACCACAGACGATGGAGCTGTTTTTCAGACAGGTTTACCAGTTAAACTCCTAACACCTTCTCTTACATTATTAAGTCATTCACCCCTGAAATTCCATAATGAACTATTCCAACCTTTGAATTGGAAGAGTTCAAATGTGTCTTCAGGGGTGAATGAGTTAAGTCACAGACAACTCCTAACATACACCTTCTCTTACCTACTAAGTCATAGACATTTCCCAATATAATATAATTCACTGGTAATCCTGCAAAAATTGAAATAAGTCAGCATTTCTTCAAATGTATTCTCATAATATTAGCTGATCTTGACCAATTTGGATTGAATCTACTCTAGATTTTTCTCTAGTTATTCTGATGATATTGGTAAGTTAACTCATTCACCCCTGGAGTGGAGACATATTTGAACTCCAATACAAAGGTTGGAATAGTTCATTATGAAATGTTCAGGGGTGAATGAGTTAACACTTGTGAATTGTTGTACATGTTGCTTCATTAATCATAATATTTTTTGTGATATCACAGCACAATACAACCTTTCTAAACAGTCCCTACCTGTCTAATCCAGACCCTCTCTGCTCTGGAAAGGAGCATCATTTTACTAATATTCCTATAGAAATACTTTTTTAAATATCCTGTATATTTTGGCATATTCCTCAGTCAATAATTCCTGCAAAATGTCTTTTCTGGACCTAAAATGTTTAACATCTGTTTACATTCATTAAGCATTAAAATTGAATGTTTTATATTTTCTATCCTTAAATGAATGCTTCATGTATATGAACTTAAATGTACAAATGTTTCTAAACTTGATCCCCAACATAACTTTCTCTGTGTAACACTATAAACCGGCCCGTTATTTAAGTCACGGGCCTAGACAGGTTGTAGTGTATTGTGATTTACCCACACTTCTGTAACACACTGTTTATATCGTAATATTATCTGGGAAATAATCTGGGTCTATTTTTCATGAAAATACCCCCAAAAAATAAGAATAATGCAAAGATCAAAATCTGCAGTAGTTTTTTATTGCTTCAGTTTACAGACAACTGGATATAGGTCAGGAGATGAAACAGGTTTTTTATTTGTTGGGAAATGTCCTTTTAATTTTGTTGTTATGACGATGATGTTATCATGTTAAATATTTGTGGTTATATATATTAAAGTGGCTGTAGTTATTTTTGTAGAATTTAGAAATGTGTAATTTCTTTATTTTGTCAATCCTGGATATTATAAATTGAGAAGTTAACTTGTGATTATATACCTCTACCTGTCCTTACTCTGTCTGTTTAGTGTTCACTCATTTCTTTATCCTCCTCTCCTCTCTCCCTCCCGCTCAATGTTTGCTTCCTGTTACGGGTCTAAAAGATAAGGGTAAGTTGTTATGTAAAACATTTTTATTTTTCAATGTTTTATATGGTTCATATAGGCAGGGACGTATAGTGAAGGGGATTAGCAACTCCCTCTTTGCCTTACCAATTTTATGACACGTCAATCTAGACTTACCTCCCCCTGATTCAGGAGCAGATAGCGAGCGCCACCTATCTCAACTTTGACAAAGCAAGATGGCGTCGATACCGCTTCGTTAGATACAGAAGTTGGCGTGAAAACAAACCAATCGCGATAAGTGTTCTTACGTCTTTTGTTTATCCCATTGTTATAAGCTGGTTGTATTACTTATAATTGATAAAATCTGTGGTATCATAGTAATTGATGTCTCGTTTTTGGGGTATATTTTTCTATTTTTAAACGCGATGTAACGCGTGGTTCAGAGTATTGTGGTGGGCGTCGATA